GCCTGGAAAAAAACGCAAAATGGAAGAGCACAGGCAACCCTCCATGCAGGAAGAAGAAAATTTGAAACCAGAAGAGCGTTGGTTAGAGGTTCCTAATCAGATTCGAGATGCGCTTAAGAGGGCTAATAATATACATGCCGAAAGGAATGAACTATTAAAAGAGTACGTTGCGATTCTATCCAGAAGTAAGAACTAAAATAAACGTATATTCTATACGATTTAATATTAGGAACACGTGTAAGTAAAATAAACTAAGTTCTTTAAACGTAAATGCATTGATTTTAAACCGACTTATTTAATCGATTTTTGATAAAGTTTCGTTGCTTATAGGCATCCTGGATTGTCTTCAAAGTTGTTGAGCGGCATAAAAATTTTGGACACCGCCTCTTCATCGATATCATCCTCCTCAGCCGTATCCTCGTTGATTTGTATGATGTTGTGCAGCATACAACAGGCGCTTATTACACAGTTTGCTGTTTCCGGTGTTTTAACATCTAAATATTGCAACCTGCGGAATCGGCTTACAAGCAGCCCGAACACCCGGACTATAATCGAATGCAACACATTCAATATTTTATTGTACATCTTATTCGCATACGTAGTTAATTGATTCGTGCTATCGTGTATAGATAAATCTACTTATATGTGCATATATTGTTTAACGTATTTATTTGTTTGCTTTTACTAGTTTAGAAATATTTTTTTAAAATCAATACATCCAATTTTTATGATTAAAAACTTACTGCTGTTCGGGAGAGCAGCGTGAGCGCTTTTTATTTATTTTTGATTTTATTAATTTTATTTCATTAGTTTAATTTTGAAAAATGTACTATTTAAATATCTGCAACTGTTTTATTTATTATTTAATAATTACTATTTGAACGCCGCTGCGGACCGGCTAACTATGTGAATTGTAAGTAAATAAGCTGTAAGTAAACAAGCTTAAGTTGGCCGCACATCAAATGTAAACAAATGTGGGTTCTCCTGTTGGCTGCATTTGAAATGTAAACAACGCGATCTTTGCGGTGCTTTGCGAAAACGTAAACAAACTGAAGTTGGCTGCACATCAGGCGTAAACAAATTGGGGCTCTCCTATTGGCTGCACTTCAAATGTAAACAACGCGATCCTTGCGGTGCTTTGCGAAAACGTAAACAAACTGAAGTTGGCTGCACATCAGGCGTAAACAAATTGGGGCTCTCCTATTGGCTGCACTTCAAATGTAAACAACGCGATCGAGACGTAAACAAAAATCAGCTGTTCACATTAAAAAACAAGCAAAGCAGCTGCCTGCTGCCCATTTATGTTCGCCTGGTAGATAGAGTCGCTTTATGCGTCGTTTAAAGGCCGATTTGGCCGGTTGCGAATTTAATTTTTCGATTTCCATATGAAATAGCTCCATTTCGTTTATATATACACCAAGCCAGCATAAGTGAACAGCAGGTAAATATGCCGCCATCTGAATTAAATTCTGTATGTAAGCAAAACGAAAAGTAAACAAACTAAAGTTGGCTGCGAATATATTGTAAACAAAAGCGATAGTTGCGGTGCCTTGCGAGACGTAAACAAATTGGGGCCCTCCTATTGGTTGGGCTAGATGTAAACAAAGCGATCCTTGCGGTGCATTGCAAAACGTAAACAAAAATCAGCTGACCCACTTTAAGTAAACAAGCAAAGCAGCTGCCTGCAGCCCATTTATGTTCGCCTGGTAGAGTGTGTGGATTTATGCGTTTAAAGGCCGATTTGGCCAGTTTGGGATTTAATTTGATATGAAATAGCTCCATTTCGTTTATTACTACACTAGGCGAGCATAAGTGCAAAGCAAGTAAACAACCCGGTTGGAATTTTAATTGGGAATGTAAACAAAACCAAAAGTAAACAAACTGAAGTTGTAAACAAAACCGATATTTGCGGTGCTTTGCGAGACGTAAACAAATTGGGGCCCTCCTATTGGTTGGGCTAGATGTAAACAAAGCGATCCTTGCGGTGCATTGCGAAACGTAAACAAAAATCAGCTGACCCACTTTAAGTAAACAAGCAAAGCAGCTGCCTGCAGCCCATTTATGTTCGCCTGGTAGAGTGTGTGGATTTATGCGTTTAAAGGCCGATTTGGCCGGTTTGGGATTTAATTTGATATGAAATAGCTCCATTTCGTTTATTACTACACTAGGCGAGCATAAGTGCAAAGCAAGTAAACAACCCGGTTGGAATTTTAATTGGGAATGTAAACAAAACCAAAAGTAAACAAGCTGAAGTTGTAAACAAAACCGATATTTGCGGTGCTTTGCGAGACGTAAACAAATTGGGGCCCTCCTATTGGTTGGGCTAGATGTAAACAAAGCGATCCTTGCGGTGCATTGCGAAATGTAAACAAAAATCAGCTGACCCACTTTAAATATACAAGCAAAGCAGCTGCCTACTGCCCATTTATGTTCGCCTAGTAGATGGTGCGGACTTGTGTCGTTCGTTATAAGGCCGATTTGGCCGGTTGCGAATTTAATTTTTTCGATCTTCGATATGAAATAGCTCCATTTCGTTTATTTATACACCAGGCGAGCATAAGTGAACAGCAGGTAAATATGCCGGCTGCGAATTAAATTCTGAATGTAAACAAAATGAAGAGTAAACAAACTGAAGTTGGCTGCACATCAGGCGTAAACAAATGTGGGCTCTCCTATTGGCTGCACTTCAAATGTAAACAACGCGATCCTTGCGGTGCTTTGCGAAAACGTAAACAAACTGAAGTTGGCTGCACATCAGGCGTAAACAAATGTGGGCTCTCCTATTGGCTGCACTTCAAATGTAAACAACGCGATCCTTGCGGTGCTTTGCGAAAACGTAAACAAACTGAAGTTGGCTGCACATCTGGCGTAAGCAAATTGGGGCTCTCCTATTGGCTGCATTTCAAATGTAAACAACGCGATCCTTGCGGTGCTTTGCGAAAACGTAAACAAACTGAAGTTGGCTGCACATCTGACGTAAACAAATTGGGGCTCTCCTATTGGCTGCACTTCCAATGTAAACAACGCGATCCTTGCGGTGCATTGCGAAACGTAAACAAAAATCAGCTGCTTACATTAAATAAACCAGCAATGTATTTGCCTACTGCTCATTTATGTTTACCTGGTAGTTGCTGGTATAAGTGTCGTTAAAATACCGCGGCCTACCCGGACAGTGCAAACTTGATGACGTATGTTATTTACAGCGTGCCCATTTCTTAAGCAATATATGTAGTCAGAAAAACGTATATAATAATAATAATTATAATTATAGGCGTCAGATATTGATTAGGTAACTGATTTTACTACTCTGTAGCCGTATATTTGGTTTGCTTTTAGCTTGTTTTATTCCTCAAGTTTGCTTGAGGCTATGGTGGTCTTCAAAAGTAGCTGCTTAACTTCTCAGGGGTTTTGTTATAATTTAATTGTTAAATTGTTTTTTGTTTCGAGCTTAAGACCACAATGCAATACGCTGAAACGGTTCAACACAAAATTATTCAAATAGATTCGAAAATATTCCAAACTTACCTTCATTGAATAACGAAACGAAACGAATTCAAAACATATTTTTTATTTCATTTTATTGTTGCATACATTTACATACAAATATGTCACATAGATATGCTATAACTTAGTTCATATTTATATAGATATAGCTCTATATATGTATATAATATATGATTTAATAACTAACTATATATTTAGTTTTAAATATATAGTTAAGTAAACTAACTCTTAGTGTCTGCTATTCTTGTAAATTGTATTTTGTTTGAGCTTCTTTATGCTTTTTACGTACGTCTTAAGAATACGTAGAATTCAAGTTTTCTTTGTTCTGTAACAGCAAATATTTGTTTTCAGTTTGAAGAAATAAACGCTGCACAATATCGGCATATTATATATAATTATAAATATGCTCTATAGTGTTCAGTAAATATCTATATAATATCTTATTTATCCAACATTTCAACATACAATTCAACGTTCATACGTTTTAGCATTTTCTTATGTACAGACTTTGAAGCAAAGCTTGGAATAAAAGTTTTTTATACGATATCGGGTTTATTTCTCGCTGCTGTAATGGTTGTATATTATGTTTTTTATTTTAATGGAATTCTTTATACACAAAAGTTGATGTGTTTTTGCTACATATATACAAAGTTATTTTCATTAATAAATTGCATTGTATGAGTAATATTTTTATTTACATATTTAAGCTTTATGCTCAATTAAAAAGAATAGCTTAAAATACATAAAGTATTAAAAAATTGGTAGTCGAAGTATGGGCAGAATTGTATTCCTATTTCCTACTAACATCTTCAGAATGAAATAAAAATTAAATTGTATATAACTGCAATGAGTACAAAACGTTCTCCACTTGTTAAAATAACTGTTTTTAGGAATGAAATAAATTGAAAAAAGAATAAAATAGATATAAGTACGCTTCACATTACTACCAGATATATTTTTAAATTGTTATGGTTTTACTTGAATAAGATGTGCAACAACGCTGCACCTTAGGCTCATTTATTTAAAGTTATACTTTATTTTCTAATATTAAAGAAAGACTTTCAATATAGAAGAATAAAATAACTTCTGATTTTACTTCTTTAGGCTCTGTTTCAAATTCTAAAGGTTACTTAAGTGGGATTTTAAAAGGAAGCATTAGTTTCGATCGGTTTAATGTGGGCGGAAATTATATATGAGAATATTAAACTAATGTGCAACTAAATTCTTTTTTTAAGAAAATATACGTATGAAGAGTTGCAACACAAATGGGCTTATGAATAAAATGAAATCCAAATTAAATTGAAAGCAATTAAGTTGAATTTAATACGAGCTGCGTATTAGCAACGTTTTACTTGCCATAAATCTATTTATTAAATGTATTTAGTAGCAAACTTATCGCTTACTAATATTTGACTAGAATTTAACATATTTAGCATAATTTCTGTGTTTCCTTTTTTGTTTTATTCTCGCTAAATTTACTATGTAAATTCGCTATGTATTATATAAGTACATTCATCTAAATGCAAATTTGATTAACAGTTTTTGCTTCCTCTATAACGAATTTATTTTAATTTACGGCTTTTTTTTACACCGTGACCTGTTTTGCATAGAAATTTGCTGCTGGCCATTTGATTTGAATTTATAGACACACATACTATACGAGTATACTCGTATTTCCAATTTTTGCATATTTGTGCTGATTTGGAAACTAATTGTTTGCATGCCAAATATTTTTTCATAATCTGTAGGCATTGCTTTGGAAAGTGGGTGATTGCATGAGAAATGTGGCATTAATTTATTTAAATTGATGTAATTGAACATTTACAAATATAAACAATTTAGTGTTCGAGGGAGGGCGGTGGAAGAAGTTTATAGTGGGGGGGAAAACAATGCACGAATTTAAAAAACTAAAATTCTCTGTTGCTGTTGTAATGAAAACATAGAAACGGCATTAGTCGTGTAAGCATTGTATTTTAAGTTATAGTATATGTATTGATATTGTACATACGTCTATATGTTGTATAAACAAAGATTGACAATTAACAATGGCTTATAGTTCGCTCATGTCTTGGCCTTGCCTTTTTCTTCATGAGATATCTTAATAAGCTGTCACTCAGAACCGTTGCCAATGATTACACGATTTTCATTTTATGCTCCAGCGTACAAACATATCCATATCTATATCCATATCTATGCGTGTGTATGTATTGTGTCTAGCTGCTAGACTTCTTCAATTTTCTGTGTTGCCTCTCACTCACTCTGCCTGTCAGCATTTGTGTGTATGTGTCTGTGTATTTGATTTTATTTTCTACGACTGCTAACAGTTTGCTGTTGTAGCTGCTTCTGCTTCTGCTGTTGTTGTTGTGCCCTAAATGAGTTTTTTGCAATTATTTGATTTCATCTTGAAAACTTTTTAAAGCAAAGCACATCAAATGTTTTCGGTCTTGTTGTTGTTGCTGCTGCTGCTGCTGTTATGCTTCTCGTTATTTTTGTTGTTGCTGCTTTTGCTGCTGACGTTTTTGTTGCCCTTGTTGTAGTGGCGTAAGTGTGTGCTGCTGCTATGGTTGTTGCTGTGGCATAAATTTGCGCCAACAAGGCCGCAACATTATTAGCCGGAATAGTCGAAAATGTTAAACGTCGACGGCGACGCCTAATAGAAAATGCGATGTGTTTCCCGATAAAATGCAATAGCAACAACAACAACTTGGGCATAACAGTCGCGGCAACAAAAATATCTGCTAATATTACTATGCAAATGAGTAGACATGATGTTGATGCTGTTGCCGATGCGGGCGCATGTGGCGTATGAGCAATGTGAATTGTTCGTAGCGAGCGTTGCGGCCACGTTATATAGTTAGTGTTGGTGTTGCTGTTGTTGTTACTGTTCCACCAGCTGCTATTTATGTTTAGCCTAGTGCTGACAAGAGTCTCCGGTGTATAGAGCCTGTTTTTAATATTACTCATACGCCACCAGCAGCCTGACGATGCTATTGTTGTTAGTGCTGTTGCCTTTGCTGTTGCCGTTGCCTCCGGCAAATAACTCGATAAACGTTTGAAAATCCCAAATGATTGCGTTTTAATGCCGCGCATTATTTTACCAAGTAGATTATGCTGTGCCAGCGAGCCTGCAGAATTGTGAAATGCTCCGGGCGGATTACGCACGGGCGTTTGATTGTTATCGCCAGCTTGGCCCATGCCCATGTTGCCTGTGAGGAAGACAAAGCAAAAAGAAAGAGAAGCGAAGTTAGTGAGTGAGTGAGACTGTTGTAGTAATCAGTTTTGCGGTTAGTCGGGTTTATATTTTCATTTATTTTTGTGCTTGGTGCGCGCGCGCCTGCAACCAAATGGCATTTGATATATTCGTATTCGCATAAGCATTCGATGCGAGCATAAAAGAAAATTGCTGTTGGCTGCCTGCCTGCCTGCCTGCCTTCACTTGCCAGCCAGGCTTTGTCTGCCTCTAAGTATGCTATGCATTTAATAGTTTTTCTCTTTCCTGTGTGCGTGTGTGTATGCGTGTGCTGTTGCTTGTTAATGTATTGATTTCGTGTTGCGGCCAATCGAGGTGATTTTAGCTCGATGGCGGCCAATACAAGCTATTGCTGCAGTCGATAAAATAAGAATTGCTGTTGCTGCCACTGTTCCTTAGTCTTTGCTGGTTAACTGCAGAGAAGTGAAGTGAAAAATTGTAAGAAACGAAGGAACTCCAAGCAATTCTAGTTTCTTTGATATTGCGTATGATCGGGGGACACAGCTATATAGTACTTGTATAAACGAAAAGCACAAGAAGAAAATTCATTTAAAAGAGCAACACAACGTTCGTTTGCACTGCAGCAACTGCAAAGTAATTTAATTTAATTTTTTAGTTTAGGTGCAGAAAGATAGTTGCTATTGGTTACTAATATATTTAGCCAGCAGGGAATTAATCAATTTAATTTGAAATGGAATCTAATGGGAAGTGTGTATCATTTATAAATCTGTAGTTTCATGATCTGTGGAAGATTCAAGTACAGGTTAAAAACAAATGAAAACATCTTTACACAATAACAATAAACCGAAAGCGTCAGTATGGGAAATAGGGAATGAGCTTTGTTGTTTTTTGTGGCCAAATACAGTTTCATGGAAATTGAGTTTATATGTTATATTATATATGAAATTGAATCTTTTTAGTTTAGGGCATCCATGAGTTTAATAAGCATATGTATTTATTAATTATAGTTTCACAGTGATAGGAAATTGTGGGCCTAAAATAATATTTGAAAGAAGTAATACATTTCTAGTTATTAGAATACTTATTACTTATCCTGTTCTAGTGTTGAATTTTCTTTATATATGCAAGTTCTGGCAGTATGTTTATAGCACTGTCCCATTTTATTGTCTTTCACCAATTCTGACTGACTGCTAAAGTAATATTTATATCAGTCATTTTAATGCACTCTTAACCCCACAGCGTTTGTGTCCCTGCATGTTGACATGTCACTCCGTTTCTGTTCTATTTTTTACGTCGTCATTGTGTGTCTTTATTGCGTCAATACATTGAGCGCTCTGCTTGGACAGCGATTACTTGACAATATTTTACCGTGTCCAATGCTCCTGCGTCTTTACAAAGCAACTCGACAGGCGACAGTCGACAGTCGAGAGTGGCCGCCACTGCCAGTCAATGCACCCCGCCCCACAGCCCCACACATGCCATTGCCTGTCTCTGTCTCTGGTTGATTGAGTGCGTGGCGTGCGGTTGCCGTTGTTATAGTTGCTGCTGTTATTGTTGTTGTCATTGCTGGTTTTTATGCACGTCATTGAACGCACTTTGTTGACCGCATGTCAATGTTTAATATATGGCTGACACAGTGGCTAAAAAGTACTTAAATTTTAATCGGCTGTGAGCAGACACTTAACTTTCAAATAACTAGTTGATTAAAAAATATGATTGCTCTGGTAAATAAATGCTCTGAAATAATGATATACGTAACAATAGTTTCTCATTTCTTCATCTGCAGTTAATGGATAATGGATAGTAATGGACCTCTTTTTCAAAATTCCTATTCTAGAACAAAGAAAGTATATAGTAAAGTTTCATATACTGGTAGTTTTCTTCCTATCTACCGTTGAAGTTGTCTATTGTACTAACAACATATACCGGAGAATATATACTGTTGATCCACAGAACTCACTTAATCTAAAAAGCTACAAAACGTATTGGAATCATTGAAATGCTGAAAACTAATCATACATTTAAATTAGTAGTTGTTAAAGAAATGTATAGAAAAGCACCAAAATAATTGACAGCTCCTTTCCTTTGAGCATCAGAAATAAGGTGTTGAGGACATTCATTCAAATCTCTATTATTTCTATACATGCTCTGCAAAAGGAATGCAAATTATCCAAACATAGAAATAAGAAACAATAAGTTTTCAGTATTTTTGCTCAATTTAGCATCACTCCCACACCACTGTGCCTGTGGTCTGGTCCACAATGTTTGTTGTTATTTCGGGCGCTAGGCTATTAAATATATTTTATCTACTTTTAATCTTTTGGCATTTGGCTTTTCATCAGCTAACGTCATAAATAACAACAAAGTGGTTTTTAAGCGCGTGTTGCGTTGATTTTCCCCCATAGCTGTCTGTAGTTGTTGTTGTTGTTGTTATGTCTGCTGATCCTGTCTGGCCGCCGGCTAGTTATACTGCTAGCGTTCTTGCTGTTGTTGTTAAATGCCAGATTCCAAGTCATAAATAAAAAGTGATAGATGCGCTCAAACACAAATAAAGTTGCCAAAGCGGCCAAACAGGCCAGACTTCGCATAACTTAAAGCCCAATATTGTGGCCATGAAGGCCGACAATCACACTCTCCCACACACACACACACACTAATACATACATACATGTATAAAAATGGTAGACAATATTGTTGACTGCGTACTTAAAGCTCAAAGCCCCAAACAAAGCATGAGCGGAAATTCGTATGGCTTTTTGATTGATGTCAACGGAATAAGCGGTATACATATGTGTGTGTACAAATTTGTGTACAAATGTGTGTGTACGTGTGTGTGTGTGTGAGTTTGTCAATGCCCGCATTTACAACGCTTGATTGAAAGCACATTCAGAAGGTGTCAGACCAACATGCAGACAATTTTGATGGCATATTTCATTTGATGTCAACCAATAAATATTTCCCTTTTGCATTCCCTTCCCTTCCCATTTCATTTCGTTTTTTTTTTATAGATATTTTGGTTGGTTGGTTTCCATTGCCGTCGTCTTTATTTCCTGTTCCCTTTGTTTGTCTGGCGCTCGTTTTATACTTTATTTGATATTTTATTTATAAGCTGCAGAGCAAACGCAAAGGAAAAAAGTTCAAGTGAAACAAACCAGCAAGAAATCAGCATCAAAACTGCCAGTCGGCAATCAATCAAAAAAGCATTTGCGCTCAGTTTGTGGCAGCAACATTTTGGTTTCAATACAAAATTGATTTTTATTTTAAACACTCGTACATATTTATCAAGTTTTTTTGTTTATCTGAGCAACGAGACCGAATCAATATTTATAGTTGGCACATATTCAATAGAAAAATGTTGTGGTAAATGAAACTAACTATTGAAATTGGGAGAATGTGAAAGATGAGTTGATTTTGTTGATTTTTATGTGCAAACAAAAACTCCCATTCAACATAAAAATACAAACAATCAGAAATACCATATATGTCAGAAGTTAAAATTAATTAAATATTTTGGAAAGCTTTTATCTATTAGCAAAAAGGCAATCGTTTTTATCTATATTTATTAATGGAGAGCTGCGCCGTTTGCAGGACAGATGATAATCATCTTATTGCTGTAATATATGCAAATAATTTAACCTAAAATCGGGTTAAGGTCTCAAGGATATTTCAATTTTCAGCATTTATCTTCCCGAGTTAATTTAATAATTTACTTTATACTGCTGTTGTTAAATTATTAATCGGGTAATATTCTTTCCTCCTGAAGATGTGAAGAACTGAATATTTTAAAGACTTCTGTATAACTTCTTGATCATCAAGCATACTCTTCCTTATTGTTGCTTGATCAAGTGGTAAGTTTTGAAGATGCTTTGGTTGTAAATGAAGTGAAGTGTGTTAACTATTTTCACAGCTATTGTTTATAGTTTATGATTTCTTCTTAGCTATTTTAGTCAGGTTTTTTTTAGTTTCAGTTTGCATATGTTTCAAAACAGCTTCTATTAAAGCCAAAGGTGTTTTGCTTGTATTTTAAAAAAAAAATGAATATGTTTATAAAAGTCTATTGTCGAAAACTATTAAAGAATAATTGGAATTTTAAAAAGGCGAGTCATAGTTCAAAATTTGTTGCTGTACAATTTTGCAATTTTTCTACAACTCTCAATGTTTATTTTCTTTTGCTCTTACTAACTTAATTATATGCACAAACTTATGCACTCTGTGATGCTAAACTTCAAGGGGAATCAATAAACTCAACTCACACAAACACAAACACACACACACATACACGCACACATTGAAATATGCAATGAAGCAGCATTTTATCTCTTGGTATCTTTTACTGTTTGTGCACTTTGGATATGCACGCCTGACTGCATTTGCGTGCCGGCTCGTCCATCTATTCTCCACTCTCTCACCCGCTGACCATCCAGCCTACTCGCCCCGCCGGCCCTCCTGGCAGCATAACTCAGCTCAGCTCAGACCGGCTCAGCTCAGTTGCAATTCAGTTCGGATCATTTCGGTTCGGGTTCATTAGTGCAGTCGGTTGAACGGCATTTTACGGACGCGTGCCTTAAATAATTGCATTTAAAATGCATTCGATGTGTAAACCCAATATTTTTACGGCTTTCGCCGTCCACTCTTTTATTTCTCGATTGGTTATTGGCGTTGTATTACAATGTGCTTTATTAAAACCGCATCATATGCGACAGACATGAAAATGGCGCAAAAATTGCAAACTTCACATTATGTCTAATTTTACGCTTATTTCTTTTTGCATTCCCATTTATTTGGTCAACTAATTTGCGCGAGTATTCCAATATCGTTTAGCCGCCATATTTGACAGTGAATAAAATTTATACCCCGACTGAGCGGCACGTGACATGCAAACATACAAGCCTATGTGTGTGTTTGTGTGTGTATGTGTGTGTCTGTAGAATCATGGGTCTGTGTGCATTGATATTGACAACGTCACAATGTCACTGTCAATCAACATTTTGCTAGTTTTTATGGACATTTTGTTACCATTGTTATTGTTGCATTTCTCGATTGACGGCGCTTTTATTGCAGCAAATTTATTTGACTGGAAAGAAGAAACAACACACACACACACACACCTAAATATTTCAAGTACGTTCGAATATGCTCTACCTAGTAGGATAAAATGTCCGTTCTTATTTATTTTATTTTTAAGATGAACTTCTTGCGATTGTTACTTGTTATATTTGAGATGAAAAATGATACCTTCCTTGAATACGTACGTTTACTTCGGATGTTTGTTGTTTGTCAACTGATATGAAATAATAAAAGCATAGCTGTTATTCCATACATTAAGAAATATTGGTAAAGTCTTGTGTGAATCGTATTCTATTGTTAATACATTGATTATGTTTTTTTTTTTTAATTTACAAGTAAAGCAGCTTATATTGAAGTTTAAGAAATTATTCAACATGTATTATCAATTAAACTAATGTAGCATTGAGATTATTGAATGAAGAATATTTAAGAAAATAATATTTTAATAAAACTTCTGAAGACGTGGAAGAAAGGGACGAATTGAAATGTGCGGATTGAATTTGTGTTGGAATTCTGTTCTGACATACTTTATGAGAATTTTATAATCAGAAATTAAAACAGCTTTATTTTAGTGAGTTCTAAATTCAGAAGGAGTATCGCGTAAGACGATCAGATACCATGCAACCAAGGCCTGCTGGGTAAACTGAATAGCTGCCTGTATATATGAATGTGTGTTTGTTGTTGTGTGTGTCTGTTTGTTTGTATTGGTTGCTAAAACGCCCACAAGCATGACAAACGTTACGGCATCGACTTAAATGTCTGACATGCATTTCGGATGAACATGAAAGAGAATACAAATAAAATACAGCACAAATTGCGGTTGGTTTTACACAGTGGCTGCGTTCTTTTTCTCATACCTAGGAAAGTTTTTGTGGCACTTTTGTATTCCACGAATTTGAATGGGATTTAGGTAGCATTTAGAGCTCGTTACCAGTATTGCCTGTGCTCTTTTGTATTCAAAGAATGTCAAAGATTCGAAAAATATGAAATACATAACAAAATTAGGACATTACCAAAAAACGGCCACCCATTAAAACTCGAAATGCAACATTTTAATAATGCTTACAAAAAATAACAATACAATCATTTTCCTAACAAAGTATGGTACTAATAATAAAATATTATACTTATTCTCTAGTCCACTCTGAACGCTATGACTTTAATGTGAATAAGGCAAGATAGGATCGATATATGTTTGCACCGATATTGCTTTACTACCTCTGCAGACTCCATCAACATTGCTGTGCCTTTATAGTAGTGTTCGAAATTAATTGAAACTGGCAAATATCTTGTAAATACATAATTAGGAAATTGTTTGGGAATGATTACAATGCACGGTAAAAGTGCAATTAATTAGTTGCTTTGCGCTTTGAATGCGGCTCTGCATTAATATAAGGCCACGACAAATGTAATAAGATTTATTTTCCAGGGACATTTGCGAACAGGAACAAAACTGTCGCGTCACTTAGCGCAAAGGATATTTAATTAATTTTTAACATTCACACTAAACACTCAACCGCACAAAGGCGATGGCAAAAGTTGAGGCCACGGTGATGATGGCGAAATATTCCGCCATCACAAGCTTTGAATTATGAAAATGGCAGCGCACAAGGACAACATGAAGATTGCAGGGCGTGGAAATTATGATTACGAGATCACGTGGCGGGAGGCAGCTACAACAACAAAGACGACGAAAAGCACGACGGCGACAACGGCGACGACGCACTTGAAATGTGAATTACATATAAAATAAATGCAAGAAAATATGAAAAGCAAATGCAACAGCGACAGCAACAGCGGCAATGTGCAAATTATGAAAAAGTGCAGCGGTTGCCATAAAAAGGTAGCCAAGTAGTCAGGCAGCCGCTATTCCAGGCATCAGGTACTTACCTTGTGCACCGTCACGCCACTCCTCAACCCCGTAATCAGGCAAAGCGTTAGCCGAGTCAAATTTATTTCTATGACGTCTCTTGCCATCTTGTTTTTATTATTTTTTTACATTTTCAATGTGCAGTTTTTTGTAATTTTATGCAGCGAGAGTCAGTCAGAGGGAGTCGTCGTAGTTGTGGTTGTTGGGAGAAACAACAACAACACGTTACATGGTTTATGGCATTAGTAGTTGTAGTTGTTGTTTGGTTGGTTGTTTGGTTGTTTGGTTGTTTGGTTGGAGGTTTTTGTTTTGGTGTGAGGCGTAACATGAAAGAAATGTATATATATAAAGAATTCATAAGTAGTGGAGAGAAAACAACAACAAAAATCATATTAAAATGAATATACATATAGACTGAAGAATGGTATGCTAGGTGTTTTTATTTATTATTTGCATTTATTTGCATTTAATAACAGCCCGTGCAGACAAAAAAATCGCACGAGGGGGCAGGAAAGAAAGCAAGATATGAAAAAGTTGCATGCAACGTGATACTAGCTGGACGTTGAGGCATGTGGGGCTGTAAAGGATAAACAAAAAATTGACGTACATAGTTGACATAAGGCGTGTGTTTTGGTAGACGAGGGAAGTGCTTTGTAACTTAATGTTTCCTCAATGTCTTCTGCCAGTTCTTTTTAAAGGAAATTACCCTTTAAGTAAGCTTTGCTTTATATTGATTAAGTGTTTATTTCCATGTTTATTGGACAAAGTCATGAGAATAAAGCTCTTCTTTAGCTCTTTAGTCTTCTGAATTTATAGTCGAAGAATATTTGATTTGTTATTTTGGAATGGGACAACAAGTTTGCTTCCACAATTTTTATCTTCACCTATGTCTATAGAAAATTCGGAAAAAGGAATATTTCTCTTCTAAAAATAAAAGCTAACTATTAAAATTTAATTGTGGATCGTTTTTAATTGCTTTAAATTCTTTTGGATATGGTTTGCAATTAGGAACAAACATTTAAGAAGAGCTTTCAAGAAATACTAATTAGTTGATTCCTCTTATTATTTTCCATATCATAGTATCAGTATAAATAGCAATACCCTTAACGCTTCTTGCCAAAGTGTATTTGTATTGGACAGTCTAAGAAACTTCGTTCATATACTTGTATTCTTTCTGTTAGGTGCAGGTGAGTTGCTTTTGCAGTGCATAAAACTAAAAAACATATCTTTGGTGAGTTATTTAATTTGTGAAATGTCAATTTATTTATACGAGGTTGATTGCGTGAGTGATGCCGAGTAATAGATTAAATGTCAGAAACTTTAATTGAGAATTTAGAACGTGGCATTATAGAGATTTTTTGTGAGGTTGATTGCGTGAGTGATGCCGAGTAATAGATTAAATGTCAGAAACTTTAATTGAGAATTTAGAACGTGGCATTATAGAGATTTTTTGTGAATCTAAAATAAAACGGCTGACTGCACAAGTGATGGAAATTCAGTATTCAATTCAAATAAAAACTTACCATAGCTTCGATTCAGCATAGCCATCTCCGAAATTATAGCAGTTGTAGGTGTGGGCATTTCTATAAAAAGAAAATACGTTAAAAACAATTTTGAAGCATAAATAATTTTTCAATTGGATTTAAGATTAAATGTTTGTTCATTTTTGTACAATTTTGGCATATACTCGTACTTTAATTTATGGATTTAAGAGCTTTGATAAGTACTCGAAAATAAGGTAAGAATGAAATACAAATAAGAAAGCATCGGAGCGGGGCATCATACGTTATGCCTCTTCTGATTGTGAGGGCTGGTCGATCTGATCGTTTCCCAGCTACGCTTGAAGTCTGATGTTTAAAGTGATGTTTATAAGTAGAATCTGACGTGGAAGTTAAGGCCTTTAAGTGAACATAGGTATATCAATATTCTTAAAAAGTTGCATAATTAGGCCAATACTTTTGCTATGAGATTAGACTCTCTATCCACTAAAATGTTGATTCTATAAATGTATGCTATATATGAATTATTTTAGTACCATTAATAGCTTTCCTTAGTGTTTAGGTACTAAAAATATGTAAAATCTAAAGCCATCTCGACTTCACAATTAAGCACTAATGGAATGGCTCAAAGAGTCCGACTGCCAACCGTATTTTACGGCACTCGTTAGCTTAAAAGCTTTAACTTTAAAATTCACATATTGCCAGCACTGGCTGTGAGTAAAAAAGTCTGGACATGTGGCCATATGTGTATTCAACAGCTGCAACATTTTACACACCACATTTGCTGTTGCATATAAACTAGGCAAATGTGACATTTGTTTTATTTCTGAAACCCTAAAAATGAAAATATATGTATGTACATATAGAGTGCATATCGATGCGTCACTAACCGTCGAGCTTAATGTTGCCATCGGTTTCGCCCAGCGAGTTTTTTGCCACACAGCGATAGGTGCCGAAATCGTTGGGCCCCACAGAGCGTATTTTTAACTTCATGTATTTCGTATAACCGCTGACAGTTGATGTGGTCTCGTATTTATCGCCGGCGCGTGAAGTGTCTACAAAGAGAGAGAGAGAGAGAGAGAGAAAATGGAGAAGGTAATATTTTTTCGAATACCGTAAAATGTATGTCGCGAATGTTGAAATATGGCCGAGGCGATTGGTCCGAGCAGCTGACTTGACAACTTTCCCAAACGTTTGTTCAGTGCAGTTGAGTTTTTATTCGTACTCGTATTGAAGCGCCAAAAAATTCAATTAATTAATGTCACGTGCACTAGTGACGCAAACTAATTACGCAAACAGTGCCTGAGCGTGTGTGAGTGTGTGTGCATTGCATTACGTATGTATGTGTGTGTGTGTGTGTAATTAAAACTGCCGCAGCCCCGCTTCCATTGCAACCCTCTTCTGACTACAACTAAAACTTTTCTCATTAATCAGTGAAAATCTAAAAGGAAAAAACTTTTTGTTGTGTGCCTGTGTGTGTGTGTGTGTGTGTATGTGTGTGTGTTTGTTGGTTTTCTGCGGCTTTAATTTCGTTCGCTGCTGGCCTTTGTGTACTCGCATTGTGTTGCCTACTTTTAGGCGCTGCCACGCTCTCTGCAACTGAAAATGGAGCGGCAGCAGTAAATAGCATTAAATATATAAACTTAATTTCACTTTGATTGTTTGCCGCAATGTAAGGCGATATCGCATGTTACTCATACGTCATGTTGTTCCCCATGCGTTTGTATGCATGTATGTATGTGTGTGTCTATGTGTGTGACAAATGTCTTTAGTTTTTGGCAGCCAACAGAAAACAATTTCCCTTCGAACGCTTAACATGCATGGCTAACATTCCTTTTGCCATGTGGCCTGCCATTTTTATAGTCAGTCACCTTTGTGTCGAGCCGCTGCGGCAAGTTGCCAGATATAAGCCCGTCTGACACGCAAATATATAATTTTACCTATAATCAGCAGCAGCAGCAGCAGAAGCAGCAGAAGCAGCTCCAGTTGCGGCAGGAACAGCATATGCAATATTTCTCCTTTCTTGCTTTGTCGGCACACGGAACTTTATACTTTTGATAATGCGAGCGCGACATAAAAAAATTTTGGGTTTGAGGCTTTTAGTGCAGAGCATGGCGCTTCTTTTTTCTAGCTTTGATATATAGCATAAGCCAAAGACATTTTGAATACGAGGGCTGAACAACTGATAGTTCAGTAATGAGTGTTGCCATAAAAATAATACAATAGACCTAATGGAGCTAGTTAGTGAAGGCCCATTGTTTCTATATGGGCTTACTTAGGTTAGAAATGTATAAATATTTTATAAAAATAATATTTAAATAGAAAAGCTATACAAAACAGCATGGGTTTTTTCCCATATTTTCTACATATTATATTTTCTATAGCGAGCTCAAAGAATAATTTTAATAGTTTTATAAAAATGATGATATTTATGGAACAAAGCTAGTTCCAAGGCATATTTCAAATGTTTTGGCAATAGGTAAATATATTCTGATTTAAATTGCATTTGTTTCTTAAATTCTTGGAAGAAGGTTAGCCCTATATGTTCATTATTGATAAAAGATAACTCATTTTAGAGTCGGCGCTTGACTCAATGAGACTCGTATATCCACAAAGTCGCCATTCCCGCTTTGTTGTTCTCCCTGGTAATGGCACTACTTCGATCTACCCTCTCGCCTCTATAAACAATGCTAGAAGCGAAACGCGCTTTGCGCTTAAAATTTATTACCCAACTTTTGTTTGTCTGTTTGCCATACATCATGGCTCGGTCTGCTTTGCTCGCAGAAACAAACATTCGGGAAAACGCACATTCATATTTCAGGCGCAGGCCGTGTGTGGATTTCTCTGTCTGAGAGTCGCAGTCGCCGCCTGTGCGTGTGTGTATACGAAATGTCCTTGCAGTGGTTGTCGCTCCTGCAGACAAAAGCTAAGCATAATTTGGCAAGCCATCGAGCGTGTGTGAGTTATCGAACAAACAAAATGGCATTTAAACACAAAAAATAATGTCACTCACATCAAAAATGGACGTCTATATTTAGCACATGGGTCTAAGGAACACGAACATAAATACATATGGGCTCAGACATGAAAAGTATGTATAATGTTATAAAAAAAAGCTCAAGTTTTCAAAGCAGGGAAGTTCACAAAACCCCTTTTTCAGGCACTAGTGTTCGGTGGAAATAGCTGCCAATGGGATGGAATCGACATTTGGAATATTTAGGACGCTCTGATCACTTAATTGCAAACTTTTTGATGAGTACTCGTAGGTCTATGCAGATGCTGTATGGGAAGCAATTGAAGCGCATGTTTCACACTCCATCATTTACGAACACACACACAACGGCACACTCACAACGGCTATTATTTTGTGTAACATTTTTGGCCACTGCGGCGAACGCAAAGCGCGGATTATAGGTTGAATGTGGAAGCTGGCTGCTGCAGTCTCGTCAGATTTGACGCATGCCGTTGCATACTTTTCGGCGCTTTACACATCATTTTAATATGTGTGTGCATGTGCATGTGTGTGTGTGTGTCTGTGTGTGGTGGCATGTGTGCTCTTCTGTATGCTGATGTGATTATGTTAAAATAATTTCCGCTACAGAATAATATTTTTCACTAGATATTTGCTGCCTTACTCCCCCGGCGCCCTATGGCCAACAAAGTACTTCACAAATATGGTCAAAAATATTTGCGGCTACTGCCAAACAGTGCTCCACATGGCATTTCTGCATTCAAATTGTTACATTTCATTTCAATTACCGCATATGGCAAATGATTCGCTTTGTTGTTTATTGAATTTCCACTCCGTCAGTTCTCGGAACTCATCGTCCGAGCATAATTGCCACGACACGAGCACTGGCACACAATGCCGTCTATTAGTTTTCATTATTTAAATTTGGATAATATATATATATAATTTGATGTAGCTTTGATGTGCTGTTTTCGGCTTTGTGCGCTCTGCGGTTAATTAAAATTATTTTGTTTTTCAATACTGCAGGCCACAAATAAAATTGGGCAACGTATGTTTAATTATTATCAAATTTTGAATTTAAAGCCTGTGCAGGTAATACGTATACGGGTATTAGTGGGCTGTGATTTAATGGCAAACGATTACAGATAAATATCCAAAGTATCAATATCAGAATATGAAAATTATTTTCCTGCAGCTTTATTTTGTTCATAATCATTTTTGTGGTGAGTATTTATATCTCATTTGAGGACCTTTATGGAGTGAAATGTCTCTTGGAAGAAAAACTGGTAAGTCTATTATGTGAAGAGAGATTTGTAATTGAAATGCTTTGCTAAAACACATTTGCACAAAAATAAGATGGGAATCATGGATATCTTTGGGCCTACAATCGGAATAATAGATGTGATAAATGAGATAAAATGCTTAAAACAACTCGCCAGGGCTTGTTATTCTCCCGACAAACTCAGAATTGAAATAAATTTAAAGTATTTAATTAAGAAATTCAGTGGAATTTTTCAATATTGTTCGATTTTTCCCTTAGAGTTTATTTTATTCATCGTGTAACGGGCTTACATTTTTTTAACAGCGGCTTCAACTCAAATGCTTGATAACGTGCATGGGAGTGTTTGTATGTTTGTGTTTGTTTTTTAAGCTCTCCCGTGACTCACGAATTCTATAGCAAGAATGCGAAGGAGTGTGTTAAAAAAAGTAGACCAGGCGCCTGTAAAACAATAAAACACGCAATGGCCTCATCAACCGCCATGTCATTGTCTGCTCGCGTTGTTATTGTTAATATTGTTCATCTTGTTGTTGCTGCTGCTGCAGTTTTTCGCAGGAAACAACAACATACGAGTATATGTGTATGTTGTACATGCCATAGCTGTTGAAAGTTTCTCGGATCTCGAACAATTTTACGGACTTTTTAATTTTTTGTGCATTTTAAATGACAGTTTTCCGCCTGCCGTTGCTATGTGGAGACACGCTGGCGACTGCTGAGTCCGGGACCTGGCCAGAGCTGCATGTTGATTACATTGTAAGCTCATTTACAAACGCTTTTGCAGATAATAAAGATGGCAACAATGAACTGCTGCCAGCTGCATCGCACAGTGGGTGACACGTAACGCTGCTCTGTTCGCGCTCCTCGGTCGAAGCTTTTATTGCATTTTGATATTTCTGCAGGGTTTGACAATGGCAGCCCACAGCCACATCCACACACAGAGACATATAGATGGATGGGGAGAGGGGGAGAGAGAAAGGCAAACAATATGACGGACATTCCGGCCACGAGACGTTGGCTCTGGCATATGCGCAGACAGACTGATAGATTTATTGCATTATGAGAGCTCTGCATCAGTGCTCTTTGTGCTCTCCAGCTTTTCCAGCTGCCTGGCCATTGATTTGACTGGCGTCGTCAACTTACCCGATATAATCATGTCGCCGCGTTCGGTTGTCCAGTAGTTGATCGATGCCGGATAGGCCTCCGTATGACACTCAAGTATGACATCTTGACCCAAATAGGCGCCTTCGAGTTGATTGGGTATGGAGAGCATGGGTGGAACTGCCAAAAGAATATATGTTTCTTAATCAATAATCAAGCAATACAAATTAAAGAACTAGGAAATCGAAAGGCATAAAAAGAAAACCAGAATAACATGAAATTAATGCTTAACCTACATATTGAACCATAATTATTTGAGATATAGTATAATTTGAAATTTGTAAAGAGAGAGAGAAAGCCCCTATCCTTAATTTATTGTTTTTATGAAATGGCGGTTATTGACAATTTTATTTGTCTCTGTTTATTTTATTTCTACCACTGTGGTGAATATTAAATCGAACATTGATATAGCTCATCTGTAATTTTATTTTGTGCAGAAAGATTCAAATAAATTACTTCAAATTATGTTCCATAAACTATGTTTAAAGAAGGGAGCTTACCCACGTATCAATAATATTGCAAAACTATGGATAACAAATCAATTCCAAACAGCTTTGTTGTGTTAGAAAACGGTATCCTTGGATTTTACTAGTCCTATAAAAAGCAGCGATTCGCGACATTATATTTTCCCCATTTCGATTGCATAATTTTAGTTTTTCTTTTCATTTTCAATCGATAATACTTTGCGTAATTATTATCTTTGTGGTAAACTTTGCGCTAAATCGATTCATTTTAAGCAATTGGGTGCGGAGTTCGTAAAGGCTTATTCATTAATTTATTTATTATCGTACAGGGCTCTTGAATATACATATATGTTAATCTTAAAACCACTATAAATGCAATTATAAAATGCCAGACCAAATCGCTAGAGTCTTTTAAATCTGAATGCATTTTCCATCACATTGCTCAGCAAATTAAGTTCAATATTTTACTTTTCTAAGCAACATACTTTCGTCTCATTATTTTCGGAAAACCTGATAAGCCTACAGTCAATATCTTTTTTCACTCTGTTGTTGCTATCGTGTCCCAAAATAAAATTTCAGTACAGGTCACATAATTTTCGCGTAGAGTCGTTCATAATTTTCGCAGGCGCTTTACGTGTGTTTACAAAATGCTTTTGGATTAAAAGGCACTCAGCCGTGAGAAGCGCTGCCTGTGAGCGTTTGATTGTGTCTGGCAATGTGTGTGTGTGTGTGAGATTTTGTGCGCATGTATGCGCGATTGTGTTTGTGTGTGTGTGAATGTGTGTCAATATGCGTTTCGGTAACGTAACAACAAAAGCTGCAACGCACATCCAACGCGCCTGCCGAGCGCACAGGGCAACGAATAACACCTGCTGACAAACAAACAAACAAACAGAACTACCACACACATGGTGAAATGAGCGCAGTGGACACACACACACACACACATATGCATGAATGCGTAGTCACGCACAAGCATGCAGGCACACACACAGTCATTCGCGATAGGCACACAGGTAAATTAATTTAACGTGACTGCAGTTTTGGTCGCTTTTGGCCAAGAGTCAGAGCCATAGCCGTCGCCAATGTGTGCCAATGTTGAGGACACGCTGCGGTTATTGCCCCAAAAGCAGAAACAACAAACGACAACAACAACAGCAACTACAGGGCCAACTCTCTCTTTGTCCCTTCTCTTCGATAGTTTTGTGTGTTTTACGCATTAAGCAATGGGTTCGGCTGCCCTGAGCCTGCATTAGAGGTCCCTCATTCTGTCGCAACTGGCTATAAACATTGCGGAAGGCTTGGTCCCAAGTGAGGCATATATCCCCCTAGGGTAGAGATGGCAAGTAATCTCTCTCTAATATATTTCATTGCAGGTTCTTCTAAACTCTACAAAAATCACAAAACTCAACAGATAAAAACAAATGAAGATCTGGTTCTTGGAAATATTTTTGTTATTTAATGTTTCTTGTTTAAATTGAATTAATTTGTTATAAATTTGTTTTCTAGTTTAACTAATAAAATATATATTGTTTCTATTGATATTTCTTTAAAATAATGAATTAAGGAAAAATGTAAAGAAACTTCAACTTTTGTCATTGTTTAATTTTATGTGATGGATTAAAACCCAAAACAATTGCAATAAAAATATTTGTTGCTTCTTTATATGCACATTTGAGGACACGTTATAGTTATGGTCGCTTAGAACCCAAAATCAATTTCTACTTACATTGCACCCGCAAATGGACGCGTTTGCTAATGGAAGGTGGCACCCCATTGGACGCCACGCACAGATAGGCCGCCATATGCAAGCGGCTTACTTTGGTGATGTGAAGGAGCTCGCCATCGACGACATTCACTGCAAGAGTTAGGTCGGGCGTTAGACGACTTTTAGAAGCATTTTTAATTACAGCACTCACCATGCTCGCCACCAATCAGCATCTCCTCGCCATCCTCGCGACGCCACATGACGTAGGGTTCGGGATAGCCTCTGGCCTTGCACATCAGTGAAACATTTTGACCCTCACGAACGACCATGTCGTTGCTGGTCATGCCCTCGACAATCATGGGAGGCACTGCATCAAATAAAAGAGCAGTGTAACAAACAATTAATAATCTTTCCTTATTATTGTGTGTCTCAATACAAATATCTGTTCTGCTTTTAGTTTATAAAACGCGAATGCATAAATGAAAATAAATGTCGAATAAAATAAAGGTAATGGCCTTATAAATAAATCCAAATGCCTAATATTTAATAAAATTAGCAAAAAAGCTTTAAATTATTCGATTAAATCTTAGCAATTAGCTTATTTTAGAAACAAATTGTTGTAATGCTTGCTTGCTGACTAGATCTCCAGATTTTAAGCAAGTAAATACCAAAAAGCTAGAATTTATAGCTCTACTTAACAGCGAAAAGGAACCCTATATCTAATAGTTGTACTCACCCACTACCTGCAGATAGCCCTTCCTTGAGCGCATAGGATCTGTATTTACTTGGCACATATACCAACCTCGATCCGTCTCCTCCACCTCCTTGATGTGCAAATACCAGGAGCGATGATCATTGTACGTCAAACTGATGCGATTATTTTGGGAGATAACATTGTGGTGTATGGACAATATGGTTTGCGTATCCACACGCACCCAGGCTACCTTGTAGCCCTTTAGGTTCTCGACGACGCAGGCGAGCAGGGCATCGCGTCCAATGGAGACGGTGACATTGGCAATGGGTTCGGCGAAGCGCGGCATGTCCGCATCTGAATTGAAATTAGAATGTTGAGGTGAGAGGTCATTTACTTGCAGAGGTCTCTGCCCCACATTTGACTTTTGCTCTTTGCCCCAAAATATTCAAGCACTCCTCTCACTCATCGTGCACTTGCGGTTCATAAAAGCAGCAGCAACAAAGGCAGAAACAGCAAAGTCTTTTAGCAGCTGGTGCCTTTTTTTTTACTACTTTGATGTTACTTTGCCCTCCTTTCCTTTTACTGACTGTCTCTTTATGTGCTTTCGCTCTGCTTGCTCCCACGCTGCAGCACATTGCGCATACGTCCCGTGTGGCTGACGCAGAGGCTTTGACAGTGAAAGTGCAACGATCCCACATCCCAAACACACACACACACACACACAGCCACACATACACACTTAAATAGTGCAAAAGTATAAAGTCACCATATTAATTACCTTCCTGTGCCGTCTGCTGCGTCTCCACGCGCGTGTGTTTGCCTGCAAGAAAGCGGGAGAGAGAGGAAGGGGAGATGTTAGTTACAGAGTCCAAATGCAACCATTTAGAAAATTCAATTACATTTGCAGCTTTACTGCTGCACAAAATTATTTTCATTTTACCCGTTAGTTATAAATAAAAATTAATTAGCAGCCAGTTCGGGGAAAACAAAAAAACGAATACAATTCGAAAAGGAACTTTCCGTGTCCTTTTCATGCCGGCCTGCAAAATGGTCGCCATGTTTTGCTGATATCGCAAATTTTACACTGAGCTCTCGCTATGTCGCGTTGTGTTTCCTATTTTTCTTCGTCGTATGACAAAAGTTCAAGTTTAATTGTTTTTTGTTGTTGTTGCCAAAATTGGCAACGCTTGCAGTTTTCCGTTGTGACTCCACAAAACTTTTTTGTTCGAAGTTGCTGAGGTGTTTCCGGCATATATGTGTACGCTTGACACTACCTATAGTATATATATATATACGAGTACGCACGTGCTTTAGTCTACGAAATTGTTGAAAACATTTTAGGCATTTGAAGCTGAAAGCAGCTGGGAACTATGATATCAACATTAAAATTGGAAAGAGACGAATTATTTGTAGAGTTTTTCGTAATCACCTCTAAGAGCAGAAGTTTTTTGAAATTTCTAAAATAGTTGTATGAAGGAAGGGCAGTTGTAATTATAATACAAGCTATGGAAAGGGTCTTACTCTTATAAATAACACATCCACAGATAAATAATTAATAATAATATATTATAATGAAAAAATGGAATTCAGAGTGGCACTTCAATACATCAAATATGTGTCATATATCTCAGTTGATAAGCATACAGGTCCATATACTGTATACTGTTCGTTGCTGCCCAGAGATTATTGAACAGAATGATGACTTAAAAAAAACAATGCGAGGCGATAAAAAGTCTTTTTATTGAAAAAGAAACGACGTAGTTTCGATTACAAAGAGACAGTTTTCAAACTTTCATGTTTATGAAACACTACCTTAACAGTAAAGTGTAAAACGAATTTCAATCTTCTTTTATAATCGTAAATTCATTTGATATTATTTCAAATGAAATCGATCTCCATATAGCCTTCAATTATCCCACAGCTATGTTGTACGGTTTGCCCAAAAAGGCATTTCAACTCTTACGACAACCCTTATTTCATTACAAATTATCTATTGTTTGCCATTATTTGTACCTGACTTTTTGCTATAAACGGTGTTATTTTAGCCAATATATGTTTTAGTCTCACCTCCTGCTCATTTTTTGCGTGCACACAAATGATGTCTAAGCATTTGAAAAGAAAATCTCATTTCGGTCATCGCGAGCAGACCAGACCAGACCCCGTCCCGTTCGTCTGTGTTGGAGAATAAAACTGCTAAATTGAAAAACGCTTAAACATTTTTACAGCTTTTAACACGGCATGGTGGCATATTGAATTACGTTGCATGGAGTCAGAAGCGAACGTCAGCGGCGAGGCAACTCACCTCCCGCTCCCCACTGGCGACCTCTTCAGTGGGGGTGCAATGCTGGACAACTGCTCGAAACGGCGCTTAAAAGTTGCTTGCACTCGGCCCCACCACCGCTGGACTGCCACTTTCAACTTTTGGGCCCTCATACCTGGCCCTTTCCCACGTCCACCTGCTGTTTATGCTTTTTTCCCCTTAGCCCAGCAAGGATGAAGCCGCCGACAACGACGAGGACGACGACGACGAAAAATGCTCAACACGATTTGCGCTGTTGATTTACGTTTTAGCACGTTTTTCGTGTAGTTTTCCTGCACCTTTTGCGCTTTCTTTCAATTCACCTGCGCCCTAGCTACCCTAGTTCGCCCCTTTTATTTGCTATTCAAAAGTTGTTTTTATGTTTCAGAGTTTTACCTACTTTCTTTCATTTCATTTTTTGGCTCAAGTTGAAATTTAATGAGCACTTTTTCATGCGCAATGCCTGGCATGCTGATTTGGCTGTGATTTCTCTAAGAATGAGAAGAGAACAAAGAAGAACAAGAAGAAATAGAAAACCAGCGGATAAATGGGAAGTTGTCAGTCAGTGTCATCTTGATTGAAACTGAAGCCAGTGGCATGCTCAATTAAAGCTATAAAGTGCATGGCAAGCTGAAAAACTTTCCCTGCACTCTCAAAAAGAAAAAAAGCCAAAATAAAAAATCGGTACTATTGATATTTCCCAGAGTTCAACTGAGTTTTCTCTGTTGTTATTGTCAAGTGTCAACACTGAGATTCAAACACACACGCACACACATATACACATGTGCTATAAGTTGCACTCAGCAATCACTAGTCAGGCAGTCAGTCAGTCAGTCACTCGACTTGTTAGTTCAGTCCTTCGTTGACTCTCTTCTGATCCAACTGAAAACAAGTGCAGATTTTGTTTACCACTTTAGAACACAGTGTGCTATCTCGGCAGTTCAGGTGATTAAAATGATCACAAATACTTGTATACGATCCGTTGATACTTCTTCTATACTTTTTTAGACAAGGAAGGAATTAAAGAACTCAACTGATTGCTCTACTTCAAATTAAATAAGAAATGGACTGTTACTCGGCTAACAATATATATATAATTGAAATAAATCTGTGTACTTATATTTTTCCAATAGGTATATAATTACTCCAGAGCATATTTTTTAATTAGGAAAGATTGTTTAAAAGCTTTTCTAATATGGTAACATTATAAATGAAACGTTGAACATTAATTCCAATGGAATTTATATTCGTAATCGTTTAATAGTCACACTGTGCATCCCATACTTTCAAATAATCAAATGGCTGGCTTGGCACTGGGCCCTGACCGCCTGTGTTAGGCTTTTTTGTATGTAAACGCAACTGACCATTCAATTTATCAGGCTCGCCTCGATTCAGCTCGATCCTACCACGACGACTGTTCGTCCTGCCTTTGTGCAAATAACACGGCGTCCATTGAGTTCAGGCTGGCTGCCCGACAGGCCGTGCTGCAAAGTGGCGGCCACTTTCAATGAGCCACCTAAAAAAAGGGCAGTCTGCAAAAAAAAAAGAACCGGCGCCAAAGCAAATTTGACTGCGCGCGCTTTTTTCGTCAATTTGTTTTGCCTGCCACGTGTGTGAGTAAACACGTTTTGGCGGCATACTTTTGAAGGCGGAGGTGGAACTTAAAGCTCCACATTTTATGACACTGGCACGCTTAATATTTAAATGCATGTTGTATGTGCGGCAAGTGTCAATAAAATGTTGATGATGACAGGACACGGCACGGCCCAAAATGCAAATCCGTGCGCACTTCGCACGTCTTTGGCGGCATTAAAAGGCGAATCAAGGATGGAAGGAAACATTGTAGTGGGTTGGCCAAATCATTGGAGACTTGGTGAGCTGACCAGCAATAACAAAAGCCTCTCGCTCTGACCGTAACAGCCATGCACATGCCCTAATCGTGGCTGCCTGTACAAAAGCAAACAAAATGAACATCGTAAACAAAAGGCAGGGAAGCAAAACTCTGAACAATCGTGACGCCTACGTACTTAGAGCCACACAGTGGGCTGAGTTTCAAAATTAGAGACAAATTATATATTATATACAATAATTATATCGCATTGTGAATTATTTGCTATTATGATTTTAAAAGTGCCTGTCAGCTGGGGAGTTCGAATTACAAAAGATTTAATTTCATTTAATTTTTCTTTTTAACAATCTTTCACAGTTCCAGGTTCGAGTTCTATTTAGGGGAGGGCATGGTGTGTTTAAATTAAGTTCTGTTAAGTACAACTACAAGTAATATTTTACCGAACTTTTTACTATAAGTAGCTATTAGGTCTAACACAAAACCAATTGGGTGTTCCTATTAAGAATATTTGTTAATCTGTATTTCCTGAAATACATCATTCCTAATGATTATTTATAAGGTTATGTGGCGAAGCTCCCTTTTGCGACTCCTTTGTTGATTTTTCCCCAATAGCTCATTCAGGTCAAGAATTCATACCGATATCTATGATGCGCTGTTCATTATCGCTCTTTTTGGCAGCAGGATGCCAATTCATGGATTTTTTTTAGCAACTAATGAAAATGTTTCATAATTTAAAGCCGATGCTTTGCTTTTAATGCAAAAAATATATACTATATAATAGTATTATAATATTATGTATAATAATAATATGAAATAGTTTCTTCAATTTTTGTTTGTTGTTATTAATTATGCCAGCTTTTAGAAAAATCAATTCGCGCGCTGATTTCCCTTTCTTCCCACTGTACGCCATCTTGAGACACCACATTCTCTTTTCCCTTTTTTATGGCGCTCGTTTTTTGGGCTGTTTCATTCTGTGTGTGTGTGTGTGAGAGGTTGGGCTTCCCGTTTATTGTCGTTTATTTGTCTTTTTGCCATTTTTATATTTACGCATATAATCGCTTTCAACGCTTGCCGCGTACGCCTTGGGGCCGGCGTGACCGACTCGGTCTGTCTTCCTTGTTTCTTGTGCTGAGCGGCTTTTGTTCTGCTGCTTTGGCTGCTGCTGCTGCTTGTTGAGCCGCACGCTTCGGCGATGCTTATAAATATGATGTTATCGCTTTTTATGGTCCGCTTTTATTGCCAGCAATCAGTCTTGTGTTTTGTTTGCTGATTGCTTGCCATTATTCAAATGTATTTGTTTAATTTTTGGGGATTGGCCCAATGCTGCTCCACACTGAGCGCTGCTCAGTGGCGCTTGTGGCTGACCACAAATCATTTTAAATCCGCAATATGTCAACAAATATTTGCCCCAAGCTTTTGGGTGATTTTTATGTGCCATAGGTCGTTATGGCTTATGGTGGCGTTAAATTGCAAAAGGCCCGAAAAAGTGTGGCCCGGACACAAATTTAAGTCATTTAACATATAGATGCTCATTCACCCACACAACCACACACATTTAGTCGCCTAATCAGCTTCAACTCATAATCACATTGCGTATACCTAATTAGCTTACAGTAGAGCAGTTGATGGCTCGTTTAGTGATATATGCACTTTGTTGGCAAAGCGGACTGAT